TAGCTATTTGAAGCAAAACTTAAGGAAAACTTAGTGTTAAATTTTTTAACTTTAAATATAAATACAAACAATTTTATGAATTTTGAACTACAAAATTATTCGCAAATATTCATGGTTTTGACGAATTTTTATCAGCATTTGAAGTTCAAATGCTAATAAAAAAAAATTGTGCATATGTATTCTTATAATTTTTTAATAACTATAAGAATAACTTATGAGGAACTTTGTATTAAATTTTCAAGTATTTTGATAGGGCCAAAAAAATTTTCAGAAAATTGAAAATTTCAGTTGTCTATAAATATCTCAAAGAAAGTCAAAATATTTTGAAAATTAAATAATGTAAAGAAAATGCCAATCTAAATAACTGGTAAAATTTTCAAGTATCTACGTCTTATACTTTTTGAATAATAACAAATATTTGATAGAGGAACTAGTTATGCTGAGACACGAAAAAAAAAACACACATCATTGTAAAATCAATACATTTATCACCCCGTTCAGAATCTAAAAATGGTTACCTGAATTAATTATCTACTCTCTTGATATTTCTTGATTATCTGATGGAATTGAATGAAAAACCGTTTTACTCGTTTTCAGAGTGTTTTTACAATTAAAAAACATACATCTATCACCACCAGACATGTTAATATATTAGTAAAAACCAAAAAATATTGATAATAAGAATGGTGACCAAATAAAATATAGGCATGCAAATTAAAAATATTAAATATTAAAAATCGATACTTAAATTTTTGTCAAATGAAAAATATTTTGATTAGAATAGATTGTTAGTTGTACTACGTATCTAACCAAACTGTCATATAGATACATTTTTAATTGAAATTGTATAGGTACCTAGTTAAAAATAAGTAATAACAAGTATTTCACATGAAGTTATTTAAAGCTATTTCAGAATAATCATTGGTTAATATATATTTTATAATACATCAAAATCCTATTTTTGAAATCAGCACTCGTAGTCTACAATGTTTACTAGATCTTGGTAATTTATTGAACGTTGAAACGTAAAAATAAATTATTAAACCTTGCATTACGTAAGTGCTTTGATTGTGTCTGATTGTTAGGGGACGATGATAGGGGGAGGCCTCGATGCACGATGTCATAATATTACTATATTTTAAACATTTAAATTTTTTAGCACCACTACAGGTTATATATAAATTATTATATACATTTGAAATATTGACATCAGGCGTTGGAATTATAAAAACTAAAATTAAATTATTATTAATTATATTATTTTTGTATTATTTAATAATAATAAAAATATCGTAATTTCTTCGCGCGTTGTCGAGATCGGATCGGCGCTTGACAGAGTGTTATTATTATTATTATTTCATTTGAATGCGGACTGCGACTACGACAGTCATCAATTTTATTATTATTAAGTAATAAACTAATAAACAATAATATTGTTCCAAAAACTGGTATACACCACACCGTACTCGGCCATAATACCCGTAGCTGCAATATAATACGAATTTATAAATATTGTTTGTTCGGATATCGCCATCTACCGGGAGAAATATTTTACGCCACCGAAAAACCGGCCAGTGAGCAATTTATAGTATTTATAACCAATGATTATACTTAGGAATATTATAATTTTTAAATTGTATATAATTTGTTTCTTTGATTTTATACAAGCAACATTTTTTGGCATACGCGCCGTGGTTTCGCCACCTTTGCGCTAGGGCGTCCACTGGACAGCGGACAACATAATATTTTAAATAATAATAATAATTTACGACAGAAAAAAAAAATGTTCGCTAAAATATCGGGAGAGTGGTATGTTAACGGAGATGTCGCCGGCGTGCAGATAGCGTCATGCGATAAGC